GACCCGGCCGGGACTTTCTCTTGTTAATCACCCCATCCTTGCTTTCAGTCTGGTCATTCTTCATCGGAATATTGGTCTATATGCCTTTGTACATATCTGTCTATCTGTCTATCTGTCTATTTACCTATCAGCCTATATGCCTGCCTTTAAGTACAAATGTTAAATCCTCTTTAACTTAATAATGCCATCAGCTTTAAAGACTGAGAAAGCAGACTTTAACCATGCAACCTTCAGAAAACATAATAAGGAAGCCCACGACATAACTTCCATGTCAGGTCAGCAAAAAATAACAGACCTAACTTCCGCAAGCGACAGGAGCAGCAGAGCTGGCGGTCTGTCGTGAAACCAACTTGACACGCTACCTCCGAATGACGTCACGACCAGAAATTACAATGATGCGAACTGCCTTTAAGGAAGGAAGGAGTCGCAGGTGGGCCTGACCCCGCCTCCACACCTCCCACCCGTAGCGCTGCCTCCAGGGCATCGTCTCCGCCTCCTTCTGTGCGTGCATGCGTTGTGCGTGTGCGTGTGTGTGCGTGTGCGCGTGTGTGTGCGTGTGCGCGTGTGTGCGTGTGCGCGCGTGTGTGCGTGTGTGCGTGTGCGCGTGTGTGTGCGTGTGCGCGTGTGTGTGTGTGTGCGTGTGCGCGTGTGTGTGCGTGTGCGTGTGCGTGTGTCTGTGTATGTGTGCGTGCGTGCGTTGTCTCTGTATGTCTGACATCATATTTGGACAAGGTTTATCAGTATTTAACATTAACAATGACAGGATGCGTTTGTTCCATCTGTGGCATTTCTAAGAAGAGTGGATATATAAATATAAATGTCTGTCGTTTTTTGCAGAAATAGAGGTTTTAACAATGCAAATAATAGCAGACAAGAAGACTGCGTACCCACCACTCATACCCTGGCAGGTGACGTCACTCCAGACGACCCCGCCGAGCGCCATTGTCACGCAGGATAACTAGAGAATGCAATTTCTTACAAAACTGATGACCATGAAAGCAAGCAACGCTGCGGGTGAACTCGATGCACATGACATAAACGACCTGCTAGTCGACTCAATGACTTCTATAGTTGACGTAGATGGCGACATCAGGCAACTACAGCAACGTGTGGCTACCTTAGAAGATGTCAACGCGAGAACGGGCAAAGCGTTTCCGGAGGAGGTGATACACGAGTACGTGATCGCCGCTGGAAACCTGCCGCTGGAAACCTGCCGCAGGAGGAAGGAAAACCCGACGGAATTCTCGCAGGCGAGCTTGTTTCCGCTCTCAACGTTGGCCTCTCACATCGGAACGTTGAAAAGGTACAGCGCGTGGGCATTACGAGGAAACCCGACGGTACACCGAATTATCCAGGGAAACTGCTCATCGAACTCGACAGCAGGATCAACAAAGGTGCGTGCCTGGGATGGACGGCAAAGGAAAACCTAGGCAAGTCTGTGTCATTTCGCAATGTTAAACCGAGCCAGGCGCTCAGTAGAGAGCAAATCACGGAGCGCCATAATACTAAGGAATTCATGAAAGCGACAAATCTCTCTGGATATCGGATGAATGAAGTGGGGCGCATCCTACGCATGGAGGACGAGGCTCAAAGGAGAGGTCATATGCGCGGGGGAGGCCGCGGCATCGCTGATCGGGGAGCAGAGCTTCGACCGGACCCGGACCACAGGCGACACTAGGAAAGCTGCCCAGACCCGCTAGTTACCATCACGTCTTTCAACCCTGGTGACTGGGATGGACAGAATGTTGAAATCAATAACTACATTGAAGGGTATATCAAACCAGATATATTCGTATTATCGGAAACTAAACTTCAGCATAATATGAGCATTAAAATTGCTAGGTATAGGTTTTATGGTAATAACAAGTGCCCAGATAAACAGACTAAATTATGGATCTAGAGGTATTGGTGTTATTGTATCAGACATTTTTTTTCTTTCTTTCGATATTATACATGTAGATAAACAGCACGAAGGTATTCTATCTTTGCTTATCTAACGCAAAGTCACTAGATTTGAAATCCTTCTTCGAGCGGTTTATTTACTCCCTGCCAATTCTCCATATGGTAAAGTTTTTCAATATATTGTTGAACTTAGCTAACATACATGAGCCAGACCTCTGCATAGCTGTAGGTGACTTTAATTCACGGATTGATGAACTTGATGAGGGTAACAAAGGGGCTGTACAATTAAGTGAGAGGCATATTGTAGATCGTCAAGTAAATGTTCACGGGAGTCACTTTATGACATACTTTTGTGATGCTGGTGAATGCATCGTCAATGGGAGAGTGACTCCGAACTTAACTAATTGAACAAATGTCTCAACTGCGAATAAGGGAGGTTCTTCAGTGGTGGATTATTTTACGTGCAATTACTCAGGTATTAATTTCTTTGAAGAACTAAGAGTAACCCCATTTGTTGATTTCCTAGAGAATGCCAATTTAGTACATTCTGTAAAATCAACTCATAGTCTAGGAGGACATGCAATTTTGACAGCAAAAA